ATGTTTTTGGTCTGTGGGAGGAAACCGGAGTACCCGGAGAAAACGCATGCATGCACAGAAAGAACATGCAAACTCCACCCAGAAAGGCCCCCAGCCAGGATTGGATCCGGTGACCTTCTTGCTGAGAGGCAGCAGCTCTACCAACTGTGCCACCGTGTCGCCTGCTGGGATTTCAATTTTGTTATTTTTCCCTGTGTCGTGCTGTCACCTTCCAGCAGAGGGTGGTGTCCGTGGAGCTGCAGCGATCGAGGGGTCTCTCTGGGGCGGTTGGGGTCCCTGAACAGAGCCCTGTTCTGTGTCCCTGCTGAGGTGGGATCTGTGTGTCAGGACGAGAACACATGAGCCTCAGTCCTTCTCACCGCTCGCCACACACACCCCTCCTGCACATGTTTACTCATGAACGTGGCCCAAGTTGTTTGTGAGTGAGGCCTTTTTCTTTCGGCCCCTTCCCCACTTTCTGCCAAATAAACGTTGCACCGGAAATTGCAGGGATATCTGGGATTTTTGAGGGATCCCGGTGGAAAGGAGGAGAGAGCCACAGAACAAGGCCGGTCTCTGTAACACCTTGAGCACGAAGGGAGGGTGAACACTCATGAGTGTGTGTGTGTGTGTGTGTGTGTGTGTGTGTGTGTGTGTGTGTGGGGGGGGGGGGGTCTAGAGGGGAGGGTGTGACCCTGTCCTGCGTGGCTGTTGGGCACCATCACAGAGATGCACATTTACTGACGGGAACTGGTGACTTAGTTTCTGCTGACCCCGTCAGGAAGGCCTGGATTGAGTGTGACAGCTGACCTCATTCAGCAGCAGCGTGGGTGACCAAGGCATTAAAATTAAAAGGAGCTATAATAAAATGTGAATAAAATGAAAAACACTTTTTAAAGCTGCACCTGATATCTCTCATTTATGAGGAACCTCGCCTACACCTGCTTGCGTACACTCTGACAATAAAAAAGTTAGTTATCTAGTTTGTAGACCATTGATGGGCATCTAAATGATTTGATTTGCAAAGAGCTGCACATCTACAACTGGCAGGACAGAAGTGGTAGCATCAAGAGTGGGGTAATGATGTAATCAGGTACAGTCAGTTAAACTGAGAATGAAGGTCAACAGATGCAGAGGGTACCTCTGCACCTCTCAGACAAATTAGACATCATTAGCAGCACTTGACAAAATTTG